CAAAAAAAAAAAAAAAAAAGATTCCCTGTCTCCGTCTTCTCCTAAGCTGCACTACTGTCCGTAGCCCCCTTCATCCTGGACCGCTCCTGGTGACGCCTGTCTCCCTCACCACAAAGCAGAGAAGGGCGGGCTCAACATCGGGCCTGCAGGCCCTCGTGGGTCTGGTGCAGAGACAAGCACCCTTGCTAGTGCCGGCCCAGCGTTCTCGGTGGCTTCAGAATCACTGCTGTGGAGCCCCCAGGCCCACCAGGATCACCGCCCCTGGGAGGGACCTCCTGCCCCGCTCCATGTGTAATACACCGAGTAGCTCTCAGGGATACCCCGTCCACGCGGGTTTGTGGATGATCATTCGGGTGCGTCTCTCCGGAGAACCGCATACCTTTCTTTTACTTTTTTCTTTTTTTTTTGTTTGAGATAGGGTCTCACTCTGTCACCCAGGCTGGAGTGCAGTGGTGCCATCATGGCTCACTGCAACCTCCGCCTCCCGGCTTCAAGAGATTCTCCTGCCTCTGCCTCCTGAGTAGCTGAGATTACAGGTGCATGCCATCATGCCCGGCTGATTTTTGTATTTTTAGTAGAGATGAGTTTTCACCACGTTGGCCAGGCTGGTCTCAAACTCCTGACCTCAAGTGATCCTCCTGCCTCGGCCTCCCAAAGTGCTGGAATCACAGGCATGAGCCAGTGTGCCCGGTCTGCCAGCGATGTCTGCCTGGAAGCCCCTCATCACATCCATGAGCAGGGGGTTCTGGACGTGGACTTGGCTGAGTCCGTGCGCGCGCCCCGTCTCTCTCGCGGCAGGCACACCCTTCCCCAAGAACTTCCTGCAGACGGTGCGGAAGATCCTGTCGCGGCTGTTCCGCGTGTTCGTGCACGTCTACATCCACCACTTCGACCGCATTGCGCAGATGGGCTCCGAGGCCCACGTGAATACCTGCTACAAGCACTTCTACTACTTCGTCAAGGAGTTCGGCCTCATCGACACCAAGGAGCTGGAGCCACTGGTGTGTGGGCTTGGGGCTCCCGGGCGCGGGGTTACGGCGGGGGCGTGGGATTACAGTGGGGGCTTGAGGCTCCAGGGCGCGAGGTTACGGCGGGGGCGTGGGATTACAGTGGGGGCTTGGGGCTCCCGGGCGCGGGGTTACGGTGGGGGCGTGGGGTTACAGTGGGGGCTTGGGGCTCCCGGGCGCGGGG